AAAGAGAAAAGGAGGGTTTGGCTTGTGCCCCTGGGCCGGACCTTGCTGTCCAGGGATGACCCCGGCCACTACAGGGCAGCCCACGGCACCAGCCGGCACAGATCCAGGGACACAGGAGAAGCTCAGGCCCAGCAGGGCGAGCGAGGGCGCTATGTGTAGGGGTAGGTGCGTCTCTAGTCAGACAGCTCCCTCAGGGATCAGCCCGCGGCACGGCCAGCCTCCTGCAAGGACATGGCAGGCTCTGCTCCTTCTCCGGGAAGAGGTTTCCCCATCACCCAGCGGGCTGGCTGGGGCGCTGGTGGCGCTTGGGCCCTCTCCTGGATGGAGGTGCCAGCCTGCCCACGGGTCAGGCGCCCCTTCAGCAGGTGAAGCCCTGAGGGGACTCACAGGGAGCTGCGCTGAGCCCAGTGCCAGCGAATAGGAGATCCCCGGGGGGAGGGGGTGAGACCTGCTCCCTGGCACAGAGACCCCGGTGCCCCGCCAGCTGCCCAGCTCTCCCTGCGCAGCACCCACCTTCTCTTCCGCGGTTTCTGCCAGCTGGCGCAGACGGGACGTCATGTTCACCAGGCTCTGCTCAAAGGCTGCCACCAGGTTAGCCTGAAAGACAGCGGGAGAGGGCGTCACGCTCAGCTGGGGAACGGAGAGCACGGTGGGGAGCCGGACCGGCAGCCGCTCTGTGGCTGTGTGGCAAGCACCCGGTGTGGGGGAGGCGAGCGTGCGGCATTCCCCCCTCACCTCCCAGCATGCTGCTTTACTGTCTGCTCTGTCCCGGAGGGACCCAGGCTTGCAAGCCCAGCAGCCCCGCGTTGGGCTCGCAGCCCGGTCCGTACTATAGCCACGTCCTCTCGGAACAAGGGCGGGGAAGGGCTCTGATCTCTTGCCCCCGGGGAAGAGGCTCTCTCCCAAGAAGGGAGGGGCAGGAGCCAGAGGGAAGGTGCCGGAGGTGGGGATGGACACCTAGAGTCTAGGGTGAGGAGGGATGGGGCCTGGGGTAGGAGCAGGAGGGAGGGGAAAGTGTGGCTCTTGCGGGAGGGTTCCCCCAGGGCTGACAGTGGCTGGAAGGGTTCTCAGCTCGGTGCCCGCTCTGGGTCCTGCCGCTCCGACCCCTCTGGTCCTGGAGCCAATAGCGCCGACACCATCGACGTGTGCAGTCTCTCCCGCTGGGACGCAGCAGGCCATCTCCCAGAGCCACGCCTCCCCCGCGCAGCAGCAGGTTTCCCCGGCGAGCCAAGGGCCCTGCGCACCATGGGGACGCTGCGTGGCTCCGGGGTGGCGCTCCTGCCCTGCAAACAGCAGACGTGTGGGGGGATGATCTCAGTGGGGAGGTGACCCCACCCCACAACATAGAGCAGGGGGTGCTGTCAAAATGGGCATCTTCCTGCAACCTGCCAGTTGAGGGGGCCAACAGTTGAGGGGGTGAGCTTCCCCTCCTTGCTCCTGGCAGGGTCATCTGCTCGCCAGGCCAGGGTGCGCCCGACCCCTGCCTTGTCCCCGGGACGATGCCCCAGCACTCCTCCCCCCATCTTTGGTATATTACCACAGTTGGCATTATAGTGGGTCCAAAGATCTCTGACGATGCCCCCCACTCCGGACAAGCACTAGGCTTGGCCTGGAGCTGCGATTGGACTCACGTTGGCTGACAGCTGAGACGTCAGGGTCGCCACCTTCTCCTGGGACGACTCCAGCTCCCGGCGCAGCTTGCGGATTTGCTGGAGGGGAGAGAAGGCAAAGGGGGAAGGGTCAGGGAGAAGTGGGCCGCTCCCCCCCTCGGGGGCCGGGAGCGAGCCGTCAGGGCGGGTGGAGAAGTGGGGTCTCACCGTACCTCGGATTGCATCCTCTCCTCCGCCTGGCAGAGCACAGCGCAGCAGGAAGGAGAGACAGACAGAGGCCAACGTTAGGACAGAGGGGGGAAGTGAGGGGCAGACAGGCAGAGATTGGGGGGCAGAGCCATGCACAGAACTGAACCCCGCCCCAAGCCACCGTGGGGCTCCTCCCGCAAAGCCATCCAGACAGCAGCTGGCTGCGGCCACCCCTGCAAGGCCCTGAGGGCGCGGCCTGGCCCGTGCCCCACCCCCCAGACGTGCAGGTAACAGGAGCGCCCTGGTGCAGGCGGGGGACCGTGGAAGCAGCTCTTACTGAGGAGTAGGTGGAGGAGGCACTGGAGGCCAGGGACAGCACCGATCCATGAACTGCAACAGAACAAACATGCCTGAGTCACGGAGCCCTCCACCGCGCCCTGGCTGAGAGCACGGGAGTTGGGTGGCGGGCGGGGAAAGGGGAGGCAGCGCCAGCTTTCCCAGAGGGGCCTGTGGGGCGCCACAGCAGGGGATGAATGGGGGAGGCAGGGGCAGGAGGGGTACTGCAGAGGTTACAGGCAGGGGCCACATTCAGCTGGGCAGCCTGCCCTGGCAAATCACCCTTGCCACGGGGCACCACCCAGCCAAGGAGCTCACATTGCTGTAGGGACACCACTAAGCAGAGCCTGACCACCCCCAGGCCCCTCCTCATCCCTGGGAAGAGCTGGGTCAGCATCACCATCCCCGCTATACAGCTGGGGAAACTGAGGCACTGGGGCAGGAGGAATGGGGGGCCTTGCCCCAGGTAACATGGCGAGGCCCAGCCAGGAATAGTCTGACTCCCAGCCCTGTGCTTTGCCATGGTGGCTCCGTCTCCCTCCAGGCTGAGCCCATGAGGATCTGCATCCCCAACTTCTCAAATCCTCCCTTCCTGGCCCTAGAGCCAAACCATCCCCAGCGCCCACTCGGCTGCCAAACCCGTCGCAACGTGCCAGGTGGGTACCTGGAGCCCCCATGTCCATCTGCTCATCTACGCTCAGGGACCTGCGGACCCAGAACCAGGTTCCCAGCCCAGCTTTGCACGAGCAGCCCCTGAGCTCAACCTCCCTCTCCCCCAATAGGCCTGTGCAGGTTCCTTCCCCCAGAGGAGCCATGGAGCCTGCACTCGGGGGCAGGGAGCAGACAGAGCCAATGGGCCCAGCCACTGCTCTCACACTCAGTGGGGGAGGCTGGTTTGACCCATCCTGCTGCCTTGGGACTGACAGGATTCCCCACTCGCTCGCCAGCAGGATTAACCCTTTCTTGTCTCCCTGACAGTAACAGGAAATGCTTCGGTGCTCGGGATCGTGAGCGCCGCCGCTGCCACCTATGGGTACCAAAAGGGATGCCCGGGGCATGGAGGGGCAGGCAGGGGACCCTGGAGCCATGCTACCCCCGGATAACGGGGAGGAAGAGCCCGTCGCTCCGGCCGGAGCACGAGTGTCTCACCGTCGTCCGCAGGGTCCCGGAAGGAGCCTGAGCGGATCATGCCCTTGGGTCTGTCTGCCAGGGAGAGGGTGCTGCCCATCTGGGAGGTGCTGTAGAGCTCGAAGGCGGAGTCGTGGGTGGGGATGCTGTTGGAACGGGTGATCCGCGGAGTGGTGGCAGCAGTGGGACTCACTGCACGGAGAAGGCAGGGGAGGGAGAAGAGAAGAGGCAGGGTCAGAAACGCGCCTGGCCCAGGGGAGCGGAGCAGCAGGGAGTGTGGGGCAGGGAGGGGCCAGAGCCCTGAGGAGCCAGGGACGCAGGAGGATGCCACACATGGTCACGCTCGGGACCAGAGCCTCAGGACGGGGAGACTCGAGTGAAGCCAGTACCGCAAGGCTGAGGGATACCTGCTGGGGCTGGCCACGCGCTCTCCCAGGTGGTGAATCCTGGGAACAGCGAGTTCATGCCAAAGCCGGTGTCCATCAGGAGTAGCCCCACTGGGCCCCAATCCCTCCCCGCACTCACTCCAGTGTAAAACAGGAGTAACACTGGGCCTGATCCCCCGCTCACTCACTCTGGTTTCAATCAGGAGTAACCCCACTGGGCCTGAACCTTCACGCTGGTTTAAATCAGGAAAATCCCTCTGAAGCCAGTTCCTCAGGCACAAGCGAGAGAAGTGGGTCCCACACCCGTGAGGGACTCTCCTACCCGACAGTTTGCCTCCCACTCACTTTCATTGGGGGCGCTTTCAATGGGAGCCCCCCGCAGCTGGGCTATGTCAGAGCATGGCCCTTTATGAGGAGGCTGCCCAGAGAGGAAGCAGAGGGCAGGTGCCAGAGGCTGGGCAGAGGGCCCGGGGTGGATTAGGCACTTCATGGGGCTTCTCCACCTCTGGTTTCTATGGGCAAGGCCCTCTGGCCCTGCCAACAAGCCAGCTCCACCCTCTGGAGCACACAGGCCTTGCTGTGATCTTTGCTGCACAGACACCAGGGGCCAGCTCCTCAGCTGGCATAAACCAGCAGAGCTCCCGGGACACTGTTTTCAATGGCGCTGCGCTGATTTACACCCGCCGGGGATTTGGCCCTGACCTGGCCATGGCAAACTGACCGATATTCGTGAGTGGGCTTTTCCCGGCCAAGGACACGGAGAGGGCGGGAGGCGAGGGCAGCTCCGACGGGTCATCCGACTCTGGGAGCCCGCCGATCGTGTGGGAGTGGCGCCTCTCCTTGGTCTCCTCTTGGGACTGGAGCTGGTACCTGTCAGGGCCGAGGGAGAGATCAGCAAGGCAACGCTGCTGGGGGTCCCCGCCAGTCCATTTTCCCCAGCCAGGGTCGAGTTGCCAAAGGGCTTCGGAATGGCCACGGCTCTCGCCGAAGAGCTCAGAGTAGCCACGTGGCAGATCCTTGCGCACACTGGGATGCTGTGGGGGCAGTTCTAGGGGCTCGGTCCGCCTCTCCCTCTGCAAGGATCTGAGAAAGCCAATGGCGAAGGGGAAGGCTTGGCCTGTCTCTGGAGTATCAGGCGCACCAAGGAGGTGGAGGGCTGGGCTCAGCTCTGGTATAGCAAACCCTTCTCTTGCCAAGATGTCCCCCTCAGCCCTGAGGCATTTCCCACTGCCCGGGACAGCACAGGGGAGGCTGAGATACCAGCTGCAGCACTGGGAAGCCAGGTTAGGGGGCATGGACTCGACACGACAGCGGGATCTCTGGCATCGATGAAGGGCTGGTCTCCCGCTGTTCCGGGGACGATATTCTGCCCTTGCTCTGAGTGACCTGCGGTGCCCTGGGCAGCAAAGCCGCACTTTTGGTGCAAGAGGGTGAGGGGCCGGGAGGATGGCCCAGTGGTTAGCGCACTAGCCTAGCAAACCGGGGGTCAGTTCCTTGCTCTGCCACAGTGACCTTGGGCAAGTCCCTTAGCCTCTCGGAGCCTCAGGTCCCAGCACTAATGGAGGGCCAGTACCCCACTCCCTGCAGCTGAGAGGTCCCAGAGTGACCGTGAGGGGCCACAAAGGCATTGAAGTTTTACCTCAGCCCCTTTTTGGGCAGCGTGTTCCGGTCGCGGTTGGTGCTGGGGAGGAAGAGAAACACGAGTCATGGACGGCTCCGCGGGCTGGGAGAGGGAGGGCACTCGCCAGGGGCAATGCCCAGCTGGGGACCATGCCAGCTTGGCGGTGGGAGCGGGTATAGAAGGGGCGGGTGGCACCAGGGAGCTGGCGTTTCCAGGGTGCGGTGGGGATTCTGGCCCGAGGCTTGTGCCTCACAAAGCTGTCCACCCCTAGGGCTGCCGGGTGCCCCAAGAGGTCAGGCAACCCTTCCCACGGGATCATGGTGGGGGTTGGGGTTCTGTGCCCCCCATAGCATAGCAGGGAGGCTCTGGAACCCCCCCCCCGACCCCGATAGCTGAGCCCCAGCACATCTGGGAGGTGGCCCTGCTCCTGCCCACCCTCCCCCTCCTCCAGCGGCACCTGTCCAGATGTGCTGCTCTCGGGCTACCGGTCCAGCCCTGCTCGCTGGTCTCCTCCTCTGTGCTGACGGGAGGGGTGGGAGCAGGGGCAGGGGTGGTGGTGGTGGCGCTGCTCCCGGAAAAGGCACTGGGCAGGCTGATTGGCATCTGCAGGGACTCCATGCTGCGGTGCAGGCCCGAGAGCTTGGGGTACATCCTGCCCTCCTTGGGGACGCTGAAGCCGCTCATGAGCTCCAGGCCCTGGGAGAAGCTGGCTGAGTTGATGTTGAGGATGGGGGCGGGGCTGGGGGAAAAGCAGGGCGTGAGGTGCCCGGCCGCCGGGTGCAGGTCCTGCCGCTTGTTGGCGTGGGGCTGGGGCAGGTCGTTGGAGGAGGGCAGGTCCAGGCTGTTGGAGTTGACCTTGTCCAAGTTGGCCAGGGAAGAGGGCTTCACGTAGCTCTTGGCAGGTGCCCTGTGGGAACACAGAACCAGGTTGGGGAGGGGCAGCAGAGACGCCGGGCCTGAAGCTGAGCCCAGACGCGGGAGGAAGCTCGGCTGTTCACCCAGCCCAGCTTGCCAGGGGAGAGCATGGTGGGGCCCGGCCCGGCTCGGCAGGGCCCACATCCTGCACTCGCAGCATATGGGGCCCAGCCCCACTGCTGAGGCCTGACCCACTTTTGGGGAGAGTTTAAAAAAAAAGGCACTTGAACAGTCTGTTGGAGACCCTTATTCTAGCAGTTTCTCTAGTTTCACATACTGCCCATCCCGTACCCCCTCAGTGCTCTCCCTGACCGAGGTCTACATCCAGATGCCAGGGTGACGGGCAACCGTACAAAACCCCAAGGCTGATCGACAGTCACACATACCTCTCTGAATAATATGCTTCCCCCCATGGCAGGAGAAGGCAGCGCCATGGGGATTTTCTATATAGACACTGTTGCTTTGGGGTCCCCAACCAGAGTTTGGAAGAACCCCCTTGGGAGCGGCTTCCTTAGCCACAGCAAACTCCCTTCTTTATCCCATACGCCCCCGGGGGTTTGTTCCTGTTGGCTGGGCTCCCCTCTTCAGTGAGTTAGTGCAGTGCTACTCACTGGCACCAAGCTGCATGCGCTGGTGTGTTACTGTAGGGTTGCTGGTTAGGAACAGGCAGCTGGTATCAACAAAAAAAGCAAACTACCCCAAGCACTACGGAATCTGTGCCAGCCGGCCAAGACCAGGGATCTGACCCTGTCAGGCCCCTCTCTCATGTACCCATAGGGGAAGAGGAGGGTGATTGTGTTGAACTGGTGAAAAAATCCCTCCCGCCCCCCCAAGAAAACTTCAATTTTTCAGCAACTGTTTTGAACACTGACAACTCTTAGCTGAAAACCAAGAATATTTCGCTTGGAAAGACCACCACAATGCCTTATGGGAGCTGTAGTTCGACTGCCTCATAGTCCCATTCGCCTTGATCTGCCCGACTTCCTAGTTGGGCTACATATCCCATGATACACCCCAGTCTCAGCTCTTGGGAGAGGGGAAAACATGCATTCTAAGAGACCCTAGCTGTGATGCAATATGGGAGATGGAGTCCAGCTGAGGAGCCCAGCCCATACGGAAGAATGGGGACAGGAGATAACTGAACTACAACTTCCAAGAGACACTGTGGCAAATATTGAAATATTTGGGGTTTCGGGTGTTTGATTTCTTAGTCGAAAACCCAGTTTTCCATCAAAAACCAGTTAAGATGGAAAATGTCTGACTAGCCCTCATGGCAAGCTCAGGGGAGGAGCCCTGGCTCAGGCTGGGGGGTGGCTGCCTGTGGCAGTGGGACTGGTGCTGGGAGGTTTCCCTGGATCCTACCTGAGCGGCGTTGGGGGCAGCTCGGCCACTTTGGCAGCAGGCGGGTGGCTGGCTTGGGCCTTGGGGGTGCTTTCGGGGGAGCCGATGCTCTTCAGTGAGACGCACTCGGAGTCCAGGGCCACGGCCTTGGCTTTGGCTTTCTCCTTCTCGCGGTCCGTCTGGTTCACCGGGGCCGGCGTGCTCCGGCTCGTGCCGATCTTGGAGGGCTCCTTGAGCCGTGACACCGAGATGCCCCCTTGCTTGGTGCTTAGGAGGCTGGGATCGATGCTGCTGCTCACAGGCCGGTTCCCGCCACGCCCGCCTGTCACACTCATGGAGCTGGATTTGGCCGGCCGCGGCAGGCTCCGGTACTGGATGTTGGAGCGAGCCCCAGGCGCCAAAAAGCCAGGCTCCCCGGCGTTGGAGACATCCAGGCTGGTTTTCCTCCCGTTGACAGGCTTGACAGGGATGCCGGAGCTCTTCTGGATCTTGCCGAGCGTGGCCGAGCCACCCGCCTGCATCACCGTAGCCGTGCCGGTGGCGGGAGTCGGCTTCTTGTAGCCGAAGGAGCCAGAGGTAGTGGGCCGGGTGAGCCCCGAGGGAGGCTTCTTGGCATCCCCGATCCGATCCCGGCCAGCGTCGGAGGAAGAGCGCTGCAGGCCCGCGTTCTTCACAGACAGCTTGCTCTTGTCAGTGGCTTTAGCTTCAGGTTTTCCTGGGGAGAGCAGAGCGAGAGGGAGAAGGTCACAAGCAATAGAGGAGAGTACCTCAGCCCCCTGGCCCTTCTGGGATTGGACTCCCTGGTACAACGTGGGCTCCTGTGGCTAGGAAACTTCACCCCATCCAGGGAGCTTCTGTTCTGCAAACAGTCTTGCTCTCTCCACTAGGTCGCACTGGAGCAGGGGATCATGCTGTTCAATATGGAAATCTGGGCACAGTTTCCAGGCGAAAAACAGCCTCATTTCAAGGCAGAACCGAACCAAACTTGAAAGGCATCAAATCCCCCAGAGTGGAAGGGTGCTGCCCGGTAGGGGGCACGACCACCGGGTCACGTCAAAGATTTACACTCAACTTTTGCACAAGAGCCGGCACGTGCCCTGCTCCGTTCTGTGGTTCTTGCCAACTGGAGGCAAAGCTGGCAACCCTGGGATGGGCTGAGCCCACGGGACAGGGAATACACTGCGGGGAACAGTCCAGCACGGGCCCCTGGGATGATGGGACTGACGGGCTCTCTGATGGCTGCTGTCACAGCAGGACGTGATGTGACACCTCTCACGCTCCTGGGGAATCAGAGTGATGTAGGGGCTCTGCAGCCGTGCTGCAGTGACTCTCAGGGACGGCACCAGTGGGGTGGGTCTGGCACCAAAGGCAGCATGAGCCCGAGGTCACCAGCTGCCCACATCGCCCAGTGGCCTGGGCGAGCCCTCGGTGGATTGTACCCTGCACATGCTCTCCCCAGGGGAGGGGTGTACGACCCCTGTAAGACCCCCTAGAGCATTCTCCAGGAGGACACAGCACTCTCCTCTCATAGCCTTCCTTGGGAGGTGTCACGGAGTCCCACAGAGATGCTCTGGAACTGCTCCCCACCAAGCCCGTCAGGACCTGTGGGCGGC